CGTGAAAGAGATTGCATTGCTTTAAGAGGTCCATCAGACGTTCGCCGTTTTCGTTTGTTTCCCCGGTTCCGTGTGGTCCGATGCGCGCTGTCGCTGGCATCTCCTCATGGATGACTGCGTTAAAGTCTCCGACAACATATTTGTAGTAGGACCGTTCCCGCTTTATCATCTCCTCTAATTCCTTGTAGAACGCGTCCTTTTCTTCGTCCGTAGCTGTTGACGTCGGTGCATAGCAGTTGATAATACTAACGAAAGTGCGCTTGTCGATGCGTAGACGTAGGATGGCCAGTCGCGGGCCGATCACTTCGACTGAATCGACCATGTGCTCGAGCCGATGGTGGACGAGGAATCCAACACCACCGACATTTCTTCCGCTCAGTTTGGCTCCGAGAACAATTAGGTGGCCATCGTTGGTCTTCCTGGTAGCTGTTTCTTTTGCTTTTGTTTCCTGGAGAGCGATGACATCGAAACGAAGTCTTTTACTAGCCTCCATTAATATGGTTCGGTCGGCTATCGAGGCAATGGTGCGACAGTTGTAGGTGCAGACTCGTAGACAGTCCCCATGCCTCGAAAGCTTTCGTCCTGTGCACTCCAAATCCTGCGGCGGTTTTTGTCTGCAGGTCCCTTCAGGTCGCCGTTTGCTCCAGTGCACGTAGAGCTCGTGCTTCCTTCTGCGCCGCTCCGGACCCTCTGTGTGCGTGTTGTAGCTTGTTTGTTTACCAATCCTCGGGTAGCTAACCCTTTGAGGTGGTATCTACCCCCACTGTTGGCCGGGATATTCCCGTTTCGCCCCTCCGCCACTTCGAGGCCAATGGTAGGATTTGGAGGGGGAACATCAACAAAACAGTTCCTTATCTTTGGTTTGGCGGTGAGGAGATTTGGCAATTCGGTACAGGTTCCGCCCACCTCCACCTCATCTCCAGTTTCTTGCTGACATCATCGAAGTCAGCACTTTCACTGCAGCCACAATCTTCTTTGCAGCACTTCTCGCTTGGTGATAGTTCCATCAGCTCTCAGCTGAATAGTGTCTGAGGAACACGTGATAGAGCCCTCTCTCTCGAACTTGTCGTTGACGTTGTCTGAGCCATGACTCCTTGTCAGTCCTTTGCCGTCCTCGCTTCGTTGTGTCGAGTCCGGAGTGGATGGCCTGGAACAGCAAGTGAACGGCTTTTTTCGAGGTTCCCCCGACGGCCGTGACCTCCAGTAATCGAATGCGAGAGATCACAGCTGCCTCCCGCTCCTTCAGTCGGCACCATTTTATTCCCTCAGGACCGCGTCGCTGTGCTTTAATCTGAAGCTGCACATTTCAAGTGCAGATCAGCGGGCAGCGCTGCATGGCAACTTTTTCACACGGTACTACCTTAGTCCGTAACGAGCCCTTGATCGCCATGCCTGATGAGGAGAAGTCTATCTGTGTCCTTCTGAAAGTGATGAGGTAGAGTCACGTTCACGAAACTTTGTGCCCAGAACGACGAGGGATGTGTTCAAAAATAAGACAACATTTCCAATCATGCGTGTCTGCACACTTTAGAACTCGCTCACCATCGGCGTTCCGTGATGCGTATCCGAAACCACCATGACAAGCATAGCCCTTTTCGCACGTATCTGGGCAACCCCCTTCACCAGATGTGCTAAATGTGCTACCAATGGTACCAGTAGCTCAGCGCGTATGTCTCTAAAAGCTACTTAAAAATAAGCTATTAAATTGATATTGTGTCACCGGCGTTAATAAATCTACAAAGTACTGCGCGCAAGCTGTTGTGTTTTGATAACTTGGATGATGCTCTAACAGGTTATCACACAAACTTTTTCGCACTCAGGTATTCCTGCCGTTAGGGTAAACGCAGAGTAATCTACGAGTAGCGTAGTAATTTGCCCTAAGATTCCATGCATGCTTCTTCAGGATCTTCGCAGCATTACCGGATGCGTGGTATTTGCAAAACTTCCAGCACTGAAGAAACTCAATTATGTTATATCTTTTCGCAGAAACACAAGATTTTGTGGTACGGTTTCCCTGAGAGTACATTAAGACTTCGCGATGGCGCATGATGACGGAAATTGATATCATCACCTATAACCCGTCGCCAGTGTTTCTATAACTGAACCTTCGTGATTTCGTGGTAAGAATGCTGTACAACCTTGAAGAATGACGGCGGCAACGCTTCTTGTCAGGCCCTGTCAATCTATCCTCTATTTCCACCAGTGATATTCCCGTCACATCCCCGTATTATGTTGGAACCAACGTCCTACTGTTACTGTGAGGTGCACTATGAATCAGGTTACGATTGAGTTCCTGTACCCCTTTTTAGATCTTATCAGCTCTTAACACTTCTTGTCATCCACCAATGTTCCTGTTCCATGCTCCGTATCATGTTCTGGAACGAACTCTTCACGGTATGAATTTCATGACAAACAATTAAACAAACAAACAAGCACACATAATGGTAGCCTCCTATTCCCACACACTTCCCCAAAACACTAACAGCCGGCGCCGGTCAATGCTCGCCTATTGCTGCTCTTCCTTTTATGGGTACGTCATCATGGCACATCACCGTGAAGTCTGGACATAGAGCAACTCATCTTTCAAGAATGAAATTATGGCGTTTCTCAGAATACAAGTACGCTCTTCTTGTCTATGGGAACCCAAACCTGAAATGGATTTCATTAGGAGTAAGACCAGGGGTAAGTTGGCTAGTTTGTCGCAATTGAGAGAAAGCTTGGTAAATGCAGACTGTCGCATGCAACACCAGAATCCCACAGAACTAATCATTACCGTCAGGAGACCTTTTTTCTGAAACCTTGCACCGCCTCCTTCTTTGGTTCAACCACCACCTTTCTTCCAGCACACTGTTTAGAGTGCACTTACCTTCCACAGTTTTTCCTTGTTGATTCTTCCCATTTCAGACGCGCATTACACTACTTCCCTGTTTAACATCCAGTACTAGGTATAAGTGCAAGTGGCTTTAGCGAATCATTCTCACTTTGGCCTTCTTGATACAGTAACGGGAGAGCAATGAGATCACAACAAGACGATCAAACTAAGTAATAATCAGTAATGCGACAGTATTTAATAGCATCGCGGTTAGAGACGCAGTGACTTTAACTTCTATCTGTTTTTCACCATGACCATCAGTCACCTGTTACCAATCGGCAATGTCGCTGTCACTAATAAGTACTATGT